TGAAGATATTTTGGACCGCATACATATTACCATAGAGGTGGTGTTTGCAGCCTTAAGGTGGATGAATTACCTGTGCCTGACCATTCTCGGATGTTGTGGAAGGCTAGGCAAGAAAGTGCAGAGGCCCTTGCAGAGATTTTTGCTTCATGTGTAGCCACTGGTGAAGTTCAGGAAGACTGGAGGGTGGCTAATTTTGTTCTATTGTTTAAGAAAGGTAGCAAAGACAAGCCAGGGAACTACAGGCCAGTGAGCTTGATATCAGTGGTAGGCAGGTTATTGGAGAGGATACTGAAGGACAGGATCACCCAACATTTGGACAGTCAAGGTCTGATTAGAAATAGTCAGCATTCATTTGTGCGTGGGAAGTCATGCCTGACAAATCTTTTAGAGCTTTTTGAAGAGGTAACCAAATGGATAGATGAGGGTAGGGCTGTGGATTTTGTCTATGTGGACTTTAGTAAGGCCTTTGACAAGGTCCTACATGGCAGGCTAGTAATAAGGTTTGGAGCAGCGGGAGTGTGAGCTAGGGTGCTGACGGGAAGGTAAGATTTTTCTTTTCCTGTTTAAAAACTTAGCTCGTGCAGCAGCGGCCTTCTTGTTTGGAGCAGCGGGTGTGTCTGCAGAGAACGCGAACCAGGTAGGAACTAATATATTCGGGCATTGGCTAAGGTAAGGCTTTTTTTAATTCTTCTGGAAATCTAGAGTAGAGGGAATCAAAGCTAGGGCAGTTGCATGCTCCTCTTGCAGGATGTGGGAGGTAAGGGTCACTGCTGGAATGACCAGATAAAGGGTAGGGCATTTCGAGGATTGTAACGGGAATTTGTGCACGGAACCTAAAGAGATAGCAGAGGTCCTTAATGAATACTTTTCTTCGGTATTCACAACTGAGAGGGATTTGGTTGTGGACGAGGACAGTGTGAAACAGGCTGGTAGGCTAGAGGAGGTAGATGTTAGTAAGGTAGATGTACTAGGGATTTTGAGGAACTTGAAGATAGATAAGTCCCCCGGGCCTGATGGAATTCATCCAAGGATTCTACGGGAAGTGAGGGAAGAGATCACAGGGCCTTTGGCGATGATCTTTGTGTCCTCACTGTCCACGGGTATAGTGCCAGAAGATTGGAGAGAGGCAAACATCATTCCCTTGTTCAAAAAAGGGAATAGGGATAACCCCGGAAATTACAGGCCAGTCAGTCTTACATCAGTGGTGGGCAAGTTATTGGTAAGGGCTCTGAGAGATAGGATTTATGATCACTTGGAAAGGCACAGTTTGATTCGTGATAGTCAGCATGGATTTGTGAGGGGTAGATCATGCCTCACAAACCTTACTGAATTCTTTGAAGAGGTGACCAAACATGTAGATGAAGGTAGAGCAGTGGATGTGGTGTACATGGATTTAAGTAAGGCGTTTGATAAGGTTCCCCATGGTAGGCTCATGCAGAAGGTAAGGAGGCATGGGCTAGGGGGAAATGTGGCAGATTGGTTTCAGAATTGGCTGACCCTCAGAAGACAAAGGGTGGTAATGCACAGAAAATATTCAAAATGCTGCTCGGTTACGAGTGGTGTACCATAAGGATCTGTTCTGGCTCCTCTTCTATTTGTAATTTTCATAAATGATTTAGATGAAGGAGTCAAAGGGTGGTTTCGTAAGTTCGCGGACGATACGAAGGTGGGTCGAGTTGTGGATAATGCAGAGGGCTGCTCTAGGTTACAAAGGGACATTGATTGGGTGGAGAGCTGGGGTGAGAAGTGACAGATTGTGTGAGGTGATTCATTTTGGAAGGACAAACTTGAAAGCAGAATACAGGGTTAACGGAAAGATTCTTGGCAGTGTGGAGGAGCAGTGGGATCTTGGGGTTCATGTCCACAGTTCCCTGAAAGTTGCCACGCAAGTAGATAGAGTTGTTAAGAAGGCGTATGGTGTGTTAGCTTTCGTTAATAGAGGGATTGAGTTCAAGAGCCGTGAACTTATGCTCCAGCTATACAAAATCCTGGTTTGGCCACATCTGGAGTATTGTGTCCAGTTCCGGTCGCCTTATTACAGGAAAGATGTAGAAGCATTAGAAAAGGTGCAGGGGAGATTTACCAGGACATTGCCTGGAATGGAGGGAAGGTCTTATGAGGAAGGGTTGAGACAGCAAAGGCTTTTCTCTTCAGAACGACAGAGGTTGATAGGTGACTTGATAGAGGTCTACAAAATGATCAGAGGTATAGATAGAGTGGACAGCCAGAGACTTTTCCCTAGGGTGGAGGTAGCTATTACGAGGGGGCATAGTTTTAAAGTGAGTGGAGGTCGATAAAGGGGAGACATCAGAGGTAGGCTTTTTACACAGAGAGTGGTCGGGGCGTGGAATGCATTGCCGGAGAGGGTAGTGGAGTCGGCCTCATTAGGGGCATTTAATCGGCTATTAGACAGGCATATCGATGATAGTTTAAGGTGGGGTGGAGGTTCGATAGACCTTAGGATTAGGGTAAATGTTTGGCATAACATTGTGGGCCGAAGGGCCTGTACTGTGCTGTATTGTTCTATGTTCTAACATTTGGTTGCATGGGATCCAGGGAAAGCTAGCTAATTGGATTAAAAATTGGCTTGATGGTCGGAAGCAGAGGGTGATGGTTGAAGGTTGTTTCTTGGACTGGAGGCCTGTGACTTGTGGTGTGCCACAAGGGTAGGTGCTGTGACCTTTGTTATTTGTTATTAACGTAAATGTTCCGGATGTGAATGCACAAGACATGATTAGTAAATTTGCGGATGATGCAAAATTCGAAGGTATCATTGATAGTGAGGAATGTTATCAAAAATTAGAGGGATCTTGATCAGATGGAGAAGTGGGCGGAGGATTGGAAAATGCACTTCAATACAGATAAGTGTGAGGTGTTACACTTTGGAAAGTCAAACCAAAGTAGGCCTTATACAATAAATGGTAAGGTCCTGAGGAGTGTTGTGAAACAGAGGGACCGAGGAGTACAAGTACGTAGTTCGTTGAAAGCGGCGTCACAGGTGGATAAGGTCCTGAAAAAGGCATTTGGCATGTGAGCCTTCATTGATTGAGGCATTGAGTATAGGACTTGGGACATTATATGACAGTTGTATAAGTCGGTGGTGAGACCACACTTGGAGTTTTGTGTACAGTTTTGGTTGCCCGGTTACAGAAAAGACAGAGTTCAACTGGAAAGCGTTCAAAGAAGATTCACGCAGGACTGGTGGGCCTGAGTTATTGGGAGAGGTTGATCAGAATAGGACTTTATTTCTTGGAACATAGGGGAATGAGCTGTGACCTTATTGAGGTGTATGAAATCATGAGGGGCATAGATAGACTAAATACATAGAGTGTTTTTTGCCCAGGGATGGGGAATTGAAAACTAGAGGACATAGGTTTCAGGTGAGACGACAAGGATTTAAGAAGAACCTAAGGGGCAACTTCTTCATGCAGAGAGTGGTGCACGTGTGGAATAGGCTGCCAGAGAAAGTGGTTGAGGCAGGTACAATAGCAACATCTAATAAAACATTTGAATAGGTACATGGTTGGGAAGAGTTTAAAGGGAGATGGACCAAATGCGGGCAATTGGAACTCACTGAGTGGGCACCATGGTCAGCATGAAGCAGTTTGGGCTCAAGAGCCTTTGTCCATACTGTATTACTGTGTGACCCTGTGACCTCAAACTACAATGGGACCTTGACCAAAAGGACCAATGGGCTGGGGAGTGGCAGCTGGAGTTTAATCTTGAAAAATGTGAGGTGCTACAAGTTGTGAGGGAAAATCAGGGCAACACTTGCACACTTAATGGTAAGCTCCAGGGAAGTGTTGCCAAACCAAGAGGCCTTGGAGTGCAGATTCATAGCTCCTTCAAAGTGGAATTACAGGTACATCGGGCAGTGAGGAAGGTGTTTGATTGGTCAGTGCATTGAGTGTATAGATTGGGAGGTCATGTGGCTGCACAAAACATAGGTTAGGCCACTTTTTGAATGCTGTATTCAATTCTGGCCTCGCCTTGCTGTAAGAAAGATGTTGTTAAACTTGAAACGGTTTAGAAAAGGTTTACAAGGATGTTGCCGGGGTGGAGAGTTTGAGCTGTGGGGAGAGACTGAATAGGCAGTTCTTTATTTTTTCCTGAATCAGCAGTTTTATATTTCCTTGGTGTGTTGGAAGCTGGGTGGTGACCTTATTGATATTTATAAAATTATGAGGTGCATGGATAGGGTGAACAATAAAGATCTTCTCCCCAGGGGAGAAGAATCCAAAACTAGACGGCATGGGTTATCGGTGAGAGGGGAAAGTTTTTTAAAAGGAATTGAAGGGGCAACGTTTGCACACACTGAGTGGTGTGTTTATGGATTGAATGCCATAAGAAGTGGCGGGGGCTGATAAAACTACAACATTTAAAAGGCTTTTGATGAGTATATGAAAAGGAAGGGTTTAGAGGGATATGTACCTCATGCTAGCAAGTGAGACTAGATTAATCTAGGATATCTGGTTGCTATTGACGAGGTGGATCCTAGGGTCTGTTAACATGTTGTACATCTCTATGACTGTATCACAGGAACAGATTGTGAGACAATAATAATCTTTCACACTGCATAAACAGACAGAACGATAACTGCACTCCCATTTTCAATTGCAGAGATTGACAGATATTCGGCTAAGTGTCCCTCAGTAAACCTGAATGTCTTAACAGTACAATGTTGCTCACAACGTAGTAAGGAAATCTCAGATAGTGATGAAACAAAATAATATTTTACAAATAAAAGATTGTCATGAGCAGAATAAAACACATTGTCACAATTAAAATCTCACAGGTACTGTGTTCAAAATATCATTAAATGACAATAATCAGTTCAATTTAGAGTGAGGTCGGAGTTTGATCCATGTATAAAATTTTGGTTTGTGTTTCACCTTTCGTTGCAGATCCTGACAGATCTTCATTGTGTCCCACACTAACCATTCGGAGAGGGACGAAATATCATGTATTGACATTGTTGTAAACTACCCAATCAGGATCAAGGCTTTCCCCCATCCTTCATTAGCATTGCTGACGCCGTCAGGCTATAAAATGCGAGCTCCGAGCCCGCTTTCCTTTAATCTGTGTCTGAAAGTGACCGTCGCTATGGCAGATGAGAAGAAAGCGCAGCCAATTTCCAAGAAGGGCGCGAAAAATATCATCAAGAAGGCCCCAGGCAAAGGCAGCAAGAAAAGAAAACGATCCCGGAAAGAAAGTTACTCCATCTACATCTACAAAGTGATGAAGCAGGTTCACCCCGACACCGGCATCTCCTCCAAGGCCATGAGCATCATGAACTCGTTCGTCAACGATATTTTCGAGCGTATCGCGGGGGAGGCTTCCCGCCTGGCCCATTACAACAAGCGCAGCACCATCAGTTCCCGGGAGATCCAGACCGCCGTGCGGCTGCTGCTGCCCGGGGAACTGGCCAAGCACGCTGTGTCGGAGGGTACAAAGGCGGTGACCAAGTACACTAGCTCCAAGTGAGACACCACAGTGTGTTGACAAAAACACACATCCAAAAGCCAACGGCTCTTTTAAGAGCCACCCACAATTTCATTGAAGCAGCTGAACCATTTTAAGTTTGTAATTGATTTTGGGTCTGTATAATTGATGTCCCTAAGCTTTGTGTTTTTTTATAAACGTTCTAAAAATTAACGCGTGTTCCCTGACTCCCTGTCCTTTATTCTCGGTTGCGGACATACCCAGTCTCTTTACTTTGCCTGGATATTTATCGCTAGAGTCATTTTTCAGCAACTTCCGTATGTTCCAGTTACTCTTTAATCCTTGATCAGGGCAGCAGCTACAGTGCCCCGTAGCCACTGATACTTGAGTTTCACCCCCGGGGGAACTAAACTAACTGTTCGAGTCTCATGAATACATTTTGCAGTTTACTCCTTTTTTTTTCAACTTTCAAAACTCCATGGAGGCTTGGTCTGATTTTTGTGGAATACTGCAAATGAGGCTTTCAGCTGTTGGTGAGAAGCTTTCAAAATGAACAGAGACAAAGCCAGAATAGCTGCCGGATTGCGATACCAAGTGTGAAACTGTGGCTGAAGTCTGATCAAGGACAAGAAGGGAGGGCAACTTCAAACTGTGCTTTAAAGATTTAACGCGCTCACCCGGAACAACGTTGTTTGTGGTTTTATAAGTATATCAGGGTGCACTTGTAATGTGAACGTGAATTAAATTCAAAGAAAAATTAAATTATTCATTCCTCTTTGCAAAACTTCTCCCTATTTCGTACATGTTGGAGGTTTTTCAAACTTGTCCCGGTGAGGTAGAAAGCCTGAATATCTCCCGTGGCAACGAAAAAAAAATGACGTTGCGATTTCTGTGTTGTTAAAATTTCCAAATCTCTGTGCATTTGTCCGATTTTTTTTTTCCAGAATGCAGAATGTGGGGCTTTCTGCTGTGGCGGAGAGGCTTTCAAAATGAATCGAGATCAACGGGAAAGTCTGATACAGCACAATAAGTGAGGGCCACTTTACAAAATTGTCTGAAGATGGTGTTGCTTAGGGAGTGAGAACGAGAGATTGTATGAAGTGCGCATTTGTAATGTGAAAGGAAATTAAATCGTAAGCATTTATGCACTATACTTTGTAAAACGTCTTCCTCGTATTGTCCATATTGGCGGGCTTTTCAAATCGGAAAGAAAACGTACTGGCATCGCAAATGTGGAAATATTGTTGATCTAATGCAATTGGGAGGGTGATTGTGAAATATTGTTTAAAGCAGTACTGCTGTCACCCAGAAAGAAATAGTGGTGTGATACTTTTATTAATATATCCGAGTGCTGATGTGAATTAAAATCAATTTTCAGCAGGTTCTTTCTTTTTGCTTCCGCTTATTCTTCAGGTTCAGGGAAATAAAAACAGCAAGATCAGAAATAGACAGATTCAATTAGGCCAGGGAACGAGACAGAGATTGTATGAAGTATGCAGGTGTATTCTAAAAGTAAATTATCTGAAGTATAAACGCATTCTTTGTAAAACTGTTTTATACATTTTGGCGGGCTTTTCAAATCAGACAGAAAGCGGTTGATGATTTGGCGCCGGTATTTTCCGGCCTCCTCCCCGGGCCCTCTCCGGATTGGTGAGTGAAGCAGATATCTGATTGGGAATTGAAACGACATCAGGAGATGCTGAATAATGTGACCAATCAGCAATGGCCGCACCACCATTCCTCCCGAAGGTATAAGAGGCCGGAATGGGGGCGCATTGCGTCATTCTATGTGAAAGTGTTTGTGAGATTGTGGTAATGTCTGGGAGAGGAAAGGGCGCTGGTGGGAAAGCTCGCTCCAAGGCGAAGTCCCGGTCGTCCCGGGCTGGCCTGCAGTTCTCGGTGGGCCGCGTTCACAGGCTCCTGAGAAAGGGAAACTATGCTGAGCGTATGGGTGCCGGAGCGCCGGTCTATCTGGCTGACGGCTGAAATCCTCGAGCTGGCTGGTAACGCGGCGCGGGACAACAAGAAGACCCATATCATCCCCAGGCACCTCCAACTGGCCGTGCGCAACGACGAGGAGCTCAACAAGCTGCTGCGAGGGGTGACCATCGCTCAGGGTGGGGTGCTACCGAATATCCAGGCCGTGCTGCTGCCCAAGAAAACCGCCGCTGGGGGCGCCACTAAAAAGTAAACAGACCGTTATTACATCTGACGACCCAAAGGCTCTTTTAAGAGCCACCCACAGCGTCTGTGAAAGAAACTAGACCCTCACCAGTGCCGAGTTAATTTTAATTTCCTTTGTATTACAGAGAGACCGGTAACACAATATTCACCCTGCCATAACTGTTATTGTTATTGAACTATAACCGCCTGGACGGAATGTATCCATGCGGCAGTTTCCTGTAATTGCATTGGAAAGATCTGACACCGGTGGAGGAACACCAATAAATTTAGAAATCGGGAAATAATGACCCCGGTAGCCGCAAAGCGATTCAGCATCTCTTGACATGATGTTTTCGACCAGATATAACTATCTGCAGTACTGTACCCCCTCTTTTAAGAGCCAACCACAGCATCAATGAAAAGCAGCTGGACCGTCAATTGTGACCTATTGGTTTTCTTTTTAGTACGAAGACCCGGGACTGTAACGAGACTGCTATAAATGAGGATTTTTGTATTTTTGAAGTCTTGCAGAATGAGCCAAGATAAAACTAGAACAGCCAGCTGGCTAGAATAGTAAATGTGGAGATTTTGCAGTGCGGGACAGCGACATGTAAATAATAGCTGAATGCGGTGTCCCCATTAATACGCTGACAGGGAACAACATCATGGAATGCCGACACAGCAGAAAGATGCCATTCGAGTTTGAAGCGACACTCCGAAGAGCATGTACCGAAGTAGACGAGAGGGAGAAGGGGAAAAGAGAGATTGTGTGTGCTAAACTTTAAAATCTTTTGAATGCTTTCGCGGCCTTTTGAAATTTACAGTTACAGCTGGGGAAACGCCGAGGGAGACAATGGGCACACAGAGGCATTTTATCGGCAATTTATAAACTTTTGCATACATGCAGTCCAGCACTTCAATTGTATTCTACGGTTACTGTTAAAATCTCAACTTATAACGTGCTTGGCCCTAATTGACTTTTGTCTTTAAATGTGAATGAGTGCATCTCCTATGCCCACTCAGTCCATGTAATTGCTGCTGCATTGACACACTGCAGCTTTAGTACGCTGTGGGTTCATATTAAAGAAGGCAATAGCGCCGACCGCTTGCTGTTCTCTCTGCCAATCATAAATCTCCTGTATACAAGGAACCTTCAATTATGTTCTGCGATCAATTGATAACCGCTACTTGAATTTTGTCTTTGAATTAACGTGACAAATGCTTTCCTCAGCCTGATTTAATTTCTTCAATTACAGCCGAAACGACGCATTGCAATAAAAGAAAACCATGGGCGCGTAGTAAAGTAACCAATAGCGCCTACCGATTGCTGCTCTCTCTGGATGGTTTAGTGGCTCTGAAAAGAACCGTTGTGTTTCTCGGGGATAACGTGCAGGGCCGGGCGCGCTCCCCGCGGATCCGGCGGGCCAGCTGGATGTCTTTGGGCATGATGGTGACTCGCTTAGCGTGGATGGCACGCAGGTTGGTGTCCTCAAACAGACCCACCAGGTAAGCCTCGCTGGCCTCCTGCAGAGCCATCACGGCCGACCTCTGGAAGCGCAGGTCTGTCTTGAAGTCCTGAACGATCTCCCGCACCAGGCGCTGGAAGGGCAGTTTGCGGATCAGCAGCTCGGTGGATTTCTGGTAGCGGCGGATCTCCCGCAGAGCCACCGTGCCGGGCCTGTAGCGATGAGGCTTCTTCACTCCGCCCGTGGCCGGAGCGCTCTTGCGGGCCGCTTTGGTCGCCAGCTGCTTGCGGGGAGCTTTCCCCTCCGGTGGATTTGCGCGCTGTTTGCTTGGTTCTGGCCATTCTCTTCATCTCGCTGTAACACACCTTTTGTCGCCAGCTGCTTGCGGTACAGAAACAGCAGTCGGCTCTGTTATTCGATCATGGCTGATGTGTTTCTCAAAACTGATGTGCCTTCTCCCCTGATCTTTTTAAACTTTTTCTTGTGAATACCTGTCTATCTCGGTCATAAAACCAGTATGTGTAGTTGGCTGCCCATACCATAAATATGATGGGAGAGAAGACGGACAGGTCAAGGAGGCGGGGATGGAGTTTTGCGGGGTGTGGGAAGTGCTGGTCTTAGGATGAGGCGTTAATACCGACAACAGCCAAGTAAATGATTTGTTCTGCCTGTTCTCTTTCCTGGAACGCTGGGTACGAAATTAGTGTCTTTTCGAAAAGGATTGTCCAAAATTAAAAGTCGTGAAAGATGTGAAATAACGAGCTGCAGTACACTACACCCTCTCTTATGTGCTGCCTTCGCCGTGCTCAGGTCTACGCTCTCAATCGGACGAGTTGGGTGGCTCTGAAAAGAGCCTTTGGGTTCGCTGGAAAAGGGTCGATTTGCTCAGCCGCCGAATCCATAGAGAGTGCGGCCCTGGCGTTTCAGAGCGTACACCACATCCATGGCAGTGACCGTCTTGCGCTTGGCGTGCTCAGTGTAGGTGACCGCATCCCTGATCACATTCTCCAGGAAAACCTTCAGTACCCCACGGGTCTCCTCGTAGATCAAGCCTGAGATGCGCTTGACCCCGCCACGGCGAGCCAGGCGCCGGATGGCTGGTTTCGTGATGCCCTGGATGTTATCACGGAGCACTTTGCGGTGCCGCTTCGCACCACCTTTTCCCAGGCCTTTGCCTCCTTTGCCTCTTCCAGACATCACGCTTCTTCACTCCAATCGCTGCCGAATAAGAGTCGAGCTGCCTCACCTTCCTTTTTTATACAGCCCGCCCCGACCTGACTGAAAAAGAGCTGACAGACAGTGAGAGGCGGCCCGGATAGTAAACAAAGTGACAGCAGAGAAACATCCAGCTCCGCCTCCAGCTAACTCCCGCCCCCAACTGGGTCTGGAACGAAAACTTTTCTCCATAAGGGCAGTGAACACAACGATCAGCAGAAAATCTGCAGACTCGAGCTTCATGGTCAAAGATAATAAAAACAGGAGCTTTTAAAAGCACTTGTGATACAATTAAATGACCATTTCCCGGCCTTTATTAACAAGACAACACGGTTGCTTCCATTTCAATGTCAGTTTCTGTTCCTTCAGCTGAAAGAGAAAACCATTGTTTGGGGATTGTGTTGTGAAGCAGGGTTTCTGGGTCAGTGTTACGAGTGTTGGAGGGGCTGGGTGTAAATCCGGTAGAGAAATGCGGACGAGTTATTCACATAAAGTAATATGTAATTTATCCCTGCACTCGGA